CAGGAAGACAAGAACAAAATTGTTATAATACCCAATATAAAATATATACCGGCTTCAGATAATGTACAAAATGGTATTATTATCAATCATACATTTTTAGTTKGATTTTAATTTGTATATATTTTGTTATTAGGTGCTTCTGAACAAATAAATGATACAGAATTGTTATCTAATAAACACAATCGAACGGAAATAAGTAAAATAATTTTATCGTTTATTCTATCAAACGTTAACATCCACGAATTAAGAAATTTATTACACTCAGAAGTAAGTTAGAATATTTTCTTATTAATCTAACATTGGTCAGTCTTTACTATTTATTAATGTCTATGTATGTTTTATAAAATTAGATAGATAGATGTAATATGATGCAAACTGGTTATGAACTTATTAATAAACTATTTAAAAATCCTACATCAATAAGTTCTGTAAAATATAGTATTATATCAGGTTGGTTATCTGCATCACCAAACAGTCCTACATCAAGGTTAGTACATGCAATTATGTTTGTAATTCTATTTTAACTATTACTAATTTATACTACTGTTATAGAAACAATAATGAAGTAGAACTTGTTTCGGTGACATATAAACTTAAGCTTTTAATAGTTAAATGTGATTTCATGAGATGTGCCTTGGAACAAATTAAAATGCTTGTTTCTCAAATAGGAGAAATTCAGAAATCAGTAGGGATTCGAGATAAAATAACAACTATAAAAAAAATGACTTGGTGCCGGTACTTATATAGTATAATAATATTTCAATTAAATGTTTTATAAATCAATGTAATTTTCAGATTTGCCATTGCAACATTTGGATCAATAACACAAATTGTAAACAATAAAGAATCTAGTCTGTTGATTAATTCTAGCATATTATCTGCCATTAACTCCATTATTAACRTCTTAGATCTTGCTGCAAAACGACCAATTGAAAAAATAAATACAAAGCAGATTATTTACGAAGAGGATTTAAATAAAATAAAGTGTTTACAGGGAGCAGAAATTATACCTTTCTTAAAATTAGGTGCTAGGGTTGTTCGTGGCGAAGATTGGAAATGGGAAAATCAAGTACAAAATCATTGTTTAAATGTTGTATAATTTATAATATTACATTGAATWTTAATGTTCATAGGATGGATTACCTCCTGGTGAAGGGCAAATTGTTAGTAAAGTAGGTGATGATGGTTGGGTTAGAGTTCTTTGGGACCATGGAGTATCTAATTCTTATAGAATGGGTAAAGAAGACAAATATGATCTAAAGCTAGCACCTGGATTAGATATGGTAAATGATGAAGAATCTGATTGTAATGTTTCTTGCACAAATAATGGTGGTAAGCTTTTACTTAATATTTTATTGTTTAAAAATAAAGTTAACAAATTAATTTATAGAAATACACGAAAACTCAACAGAAAATCCATTTGATATACTGAAGTGTATCATGATAAAATTTCTTAACTGTCTTTCATTATCAAGTGCTGTTCATTCAATTAAAAAAGAAAATTCAATTCAAGTTCTTTCAAAATATTATTATCATACTTTAGAGGTGAAATTTATTGTTTSTTTCATTATTAGTAAATGTATATTTCAATATTTGTACAACCTTTGATAATATTATCTTTAATTTTTAGAAGAGTTGTAGTAGTTCTAATATTTCAAATGTCACACTTTTTCATTCTGAATGGATTAACATTTCTTTATTAAAAATAATTTCAAAAATATCTGATGAATACAAACAGCAATTTGCATGTAAGCAGTGGATTGACATGCTTTTATCCATTATTTCTCATTCGCCAACAGTGTCTACCACTCTGACTACCCAGGTTGATATACAAAACTATACTGTTATTAAAATTTTTTTATTTTATTTTATGTATGTAACATTTAAAATTTATATAAGGTGCAAACCATACAGTTAATCAAACTTTTGATTACACCTAAAATGACTGACTCATCCATTGTTAAATCTGTAGTAGAAACTCTTATGGAGGTTATTGGATCTTCAGTGTTACAAAGTAACTCTAAATATGATGTAATCGGTAAATATATTAGTTTTTATATAATTTTTGAATATTCAATAAYATTTTAATGTATGTTAATATATTTATGTTTGTCAAGATGGTAAACCCACAGTGCCTTTAACTGCTTCATGTTCAAATACTATTGCTGAAGAATGTATTCTTTTATTGCGTACATTATACAATAACAACAAAAGTAAAATACCAAAAAATACTTCTGAATCACATTCTTATTTTGATTCCCTGATTATTTTAAATATAATATCTGCGACTGATTATTTGGCAAATCCAGTCCTTGAAAAAAATTTATTTGTAAGTAAAATAATTAATTTTAACCTATACTCAAAATAATTTATTWTTATTTTTTAGAAACTACAAGGTTTATCATATAGTGCAATGGCATCACTAATGGTTATTGGGGGTTTTGATAACCGACCTAGAATTGGAGGAAATGTGATTAACGGAAATACTGAAGGTTTGTTAGGTCTTTAATTTTTATTATAAGAAACTCCAAAATATTTTATCACATTTTTCTCATTATTAATACACACATAAATTAAGAAGTTTTTAAACATTTCAATTTTATTTTATTCCTTGGATATCTATCTTAAATAATATTTTTTTTACTTGTTTGCTCGTTTTTTTCATATAAAATATATTTAATAATAAAAGTATTTATTAGACAATATGAGTCCATATAATAAAGCTTAAAAATTATTATATTTTAAATATTTAAATAATTATATTTAATTGAAGCTACTGTAATGAGTATTGAGAAAAAAGGAAAACTCAAAGTACTTGTACACMATACTGGGAAAGTGGAAAATTTTTTCATCAAAGACATAGAACATATTCCAAGTTGTACAATATCTATGGACTTTATATCAGAATCTATGCTCTATACATGGACAACAATGTTTTCTGCAGTAATTACTAATCAATGTTTTAAAACCGTTACAGGTAAAATATAATTAAAGTTTAAACCAAATTAAAATATAATAAAATCTATTTTAAATAATTTTTTTTTTCTTATTTATTCTTAGGGGGATTAGTCAATGAATCTCTTCTTTGCTATCAAAAGGCATTATTAGCTGGTATAAAAGTTGTTAATGCGTTGTTACAAAACCGTATATTACTTCGCAAAATATTAACACAACTGACAACTACTGATGGAAAATCTCAGAACTTATTTCAATTAATATTATCAAAAGCTGTTCAACCCTCTCCGATAAAACCAGAATACTCAAAAAAAGAATTAGAAGAAGCAGCCATAAATTTAACTCAGTACTTAACAGTTGACGTTCAGTCTAGTTCTGCTAAACATTTTAAATGGTCAAAATATTTTTCAAAAAGTACACTAAATATGCTATTAGCACAATTATCTGATATGGGTTTCAATAAGCAATGTGTATTTAGTGCTATTGAAGCACACGGTTACACATCGTTAGATGAATTAGCTGCATTATTAATGGAAGGAAAAAATGAATGTTTATCAGATGTCACTGATACTTTATCATCATATGAAGATTTTTCAGATAGAGATGAATCATCAGTAACAGAAGAGTGTCCTGAAAATGTAATTTTTTGCACTGATTTCTCATATTGTTTGTTAATTAATTTAGGTATATTTCTTTTTTACAGCCTACCATCAGTGACGAAAAAGTAACTTTTAAAARACGCAATGATTTTGATAGTGCTGATGGATATGCAAACTATGTAAAATATGCTGTTGATGTAGGCATGATTGTACGCTGTTGTAGAGAGTATGAAAGTATTAATGTTGGATGTGAAGGTAAAGTTATTAAAATTATGAGAGATGGCGGATTACATGATCTTAATGTCAAGGTATTTATAAAATTATAAATTGTATATATTACCTCATACACAAAGTTATAAAATTAAACATAACAAATATATTTATAATTAATTTATAGGTAGACTGGAAATCTATTGGCATTGTGTATTGGGTACGGTATATTCATATAGAATTAATAGATTATGGCAATTCACCCTATGAATGTGATTCAGTAGACAACAATAAACTTAATGACAAAATAAACTTACCTCAAGAATCTAATGATGGTAAATATTAATAATCCTAATTAAGAATTATAAATTTAGTGATGAATATTATTATTTAATCAAAGTAAATAAACTGTTTATAATTTTTTTTTTTTCAGATAAAAATACTATACAAATATCAAGTCATCCAAATAAAGAACATATTTCAGAATTCATTATTAAATGTACTTCTTCTGCTGAAGAAAATCTACTCTCAAATTTATTTGATTGGAAATCAGATAGTCGCTGGACCAGTGAAAATACAAAAGGAGTTGTAAGAAAACAAAATGTTTAATATAACTAATCCAGAAAAATTTAGCTAAATCATTTTGGAATATATCTATATCTGTATGAAGCCCATTTTGCATTATCTATACAAAAATTTACCATTAAAAAAATTGTAGATCTTTTTATACCTTCATATACTTTAAAAAAACATTAAGACTAAATTCATATAAATAGTAAAAATACAATTTCTTAAATAATTAAAAAAAAATAATAATTTCAGTTCTAACTTCCGTAATGAGCTATTACTTACTATACCTATGCCTCTTAAAAAACTAATAATATCTCAATTGTAATAATCAATCACAAGTCTATATATTCTTTTAAATCTACATCAAAATATAATTTAGACAAAAAGTTATATCAATTTTAAATGTACCATCAGATATTAACTATTTGATTATTGCATCAAGTTTAAACATTTAKAATGACCAAGAATCAAAATTCTTTATGGTCCTGGTCCACTTTCATGCTACCATGAAATAAAAAAAATTAATGTTACTCTCTAGTGGTGAATAATATTTATCCACTACTGATAAAACTATTGTTAGGTCCCTTAGAAGCATCACTTCAGACACAGCTTGTATTATGCACCTTCTTCTTCTAATATTTGCTTTTGATACCTAAATTGCTATTAACACTGTCTAATAAAAAAATTAAATTGCATACAAATTAAATTATTAATATTTGCTGCTTAAGAAATTCTACTTTTATGTTTATTTATAATGCTTGACATAAGTTCTACTGTTTTTTATGCTCTTTGCTTATTATGCGTAACACAACATTCAATTCACTAATTTAATGAGGCTTCCAAGACTCCAAGTCAAACTGGATAATTATGATTTTTAAAATCCATAGAATTAAAATTATATAATATAATTAGCTAATGAATAGGTAATTTTAATCTCTTTTTGGATTTGTGATACTCAAACCATGTATGGTACCATGGGAATAGTATGAAAATACTAATAATAAGAAATTTAAATAGAAATGGGMTTATATTTTAATAGTTATCTGGATCTTTAATATAAATATATATGTTATTTGTTTTTTTAGCATTGGATAAAATTGGAGCTTCGTCCAAATATAGCAATTCGTACTTTGCTAATGAAATTAGATGAAGAAAATGAGAACTGTAAGCCATTATTTGTAATTGTGAATGCTGGTGTAAGTTTTAATATGATGGAAGAAGTTAATCGTGTCATTATAAATTCTTTGGATAGGACTTTACAACTTTTACATTCAGTGAATAAGGTAATTTGAAATATTATAGTGAATATATTATTTTATTAAAAATAATTGTAAAATATAAAAAWAATATAGTTCTAAACCTGACACTTAACTCTTATCTCTTACTTCCTAGGTAAGTTAAGCTACCATTAAACTACCTGGTAAGGATAATTATAATAATTAGTCGGAAGTTAGTAACCAAACATCCGTGCAAAMGTGCATTTGAGTATTACAAAAATTGCAATTACAAAATTTAGATAATTTGTTTCAATATTGCAGGCTTATTTTTAATAGAAATACTTTCAGTTTGGAATAAAATAGCCCTTTATAATAAATTGTTGTCAATTTTARAACTCTATAGTACTATTTTAACTRCCAATTTATAATTTACTATTAAAATATATTGTTAATTTTATATAATATTACAATAATTGGTTAGTAGGAAAGTAGTTTCCTGTAAAATGAAAATAGTGAATTAAAATAAAATAATTTTAATTAATTTAATTTCAGTGCCATAAATGTGTTGAAATAATAATGCGAACTAATGAAAAAACTTGTATTATAACTGGATTGAAAATTGATGTGATGATAATTAATCAAGAATTTGTATCAAACTCAATAACATCTCAATTTGATGCTGTTCAAGTAATCAATATATAGATTTTAATAAAATAACAATAAATTTAAAATATTTTCATCTTTGTTCACTATTCTGTTTCTATTATTTATTATCACATGTGTGTTTAGGAATTTCCACCTCAGCCAGAARTAGAATCGAAAATCAGAGTGGATTCTGAATACGCTGTTTATGTTTGGGGTTTAAATGATAAGGGCCAACTAGGAGGATTGAATGGATCTAAGGTAAAAAGACCAACTTTTAATGAAGCGCTTACTGCACTTAAGCCAATTGAAATTGTTGGAGGATCGAAATCATTATTTATTGTTTCAAACGAGGGCAAGGTATAACTTAGTATAACTGAAGTATAGCAATAGTTTTTTTTATATTGATTGAATTAATCATCTTAATTATTAATTTAGGTATTTGTGTGTGGAGATAGCAGTGGTGGTCGACTAGGTATACCATTCTGTGGTAAAGTTAGTTCCCCACGACAAATACCTGGCCTCAGCCAATTTGTTATCAAAACTGTAGCTGTGCATTCTGGTGGAAAACATGCAATGGCATTATCACTTGATGGAAAAGTAATTTGACATTTGTTATTGTTGTTTTCATAATTTATAGTTATAATTTAATAWTTTCTATGAAAATATAATTTAAGATACTTCCCAGACTATGAAAAATCTTCAAAAAGAAAAATGTAAYACAAAATTATTTGGTCAATATACTAAAAATATACCAGAAATTACTGGCACATAGAACTTCTTAACTTATTGAACGCGTAATTTGAAGTGATGCATTTCACTTAGGTTTGATAACTGATTTCTGTCATTTCTGATTATTTCWAAATTGTTATTATTCAAATAAATATTTATCTGTATTTGACTAAATATATTTTAATTTAATTATGAATACTACCTATRGCTTGTGACAATTTATTAATTCATTTTTTCTTTATTCATGTTTTCAATACTTCCAATTAGATTCATATCTGCATGTTTGTCAAAAAATGTTCTTATTTATACATTGTTAATATCTAGATCTTAGTGAAATATAATTGTTATTTTAATTATGCAGGTTTTATCTTGGGGTGATGGTGAGGATGGTAAACTTGGTCATGGTGATACACTTACTTTGGACTCTCCAAAACTTATTGACACATTATTGGCCAAAAGAGTATCTTATATAGCTTGTGGTAGTGCTCATAGTGCAGCAATCACTTCTGATGGAGAATTATATACTTGGGGTCAAGGACAGTATGGTCGATTAGGACACAGTGATGAAGTTTCTCAATACACTCCAAAACTTGTAAACTATTAAATTTATATTATTTATTAAATTATGTTAATAATTATCATTAAACATGTATTCAATTTTTTTAATTTTTTTAGGTTAAAGAATTTGTTGGAAAAAATATTACTCAAGTAGCATGTGGGAGTCGAGATGCTCAAACTCTTGCATTAGATAGTGAGGGTAATGTCTATTCATGGGGCGATGGAGATTTTGGTAAACTTGGTAGAGGTGGTAGTGATGGTTGTTGTACTCCACAAAAAGTAGAAAGATTAGTTGGACATAGAGTTGTACAAATAGAATGTGGTGCTCAATTTTCTGTTGCATTAACTGCAACCGGCCAAGTAAAATATTTTATTTTATTTCAGATTTTGAATAATTGTGTGAATGCTTATTATTTTATTTTCATTGTTAGGTGTGGACCTGGGGTAAAGGCGAGTACTACAGGTTAGGATTGGGTAGAGTTGAACATGTACGAAGACCAACTCTAGTTAATCAACTGAAATTAGTTACAATTGATCATATTGCTGTTGGTACATTGCATTGTATTGCTGTGTCTACACAAGGGGATGTAAGTTGTATTTAAGTTCAAATATTTTTTGTTACAGTTGTGTTTTAATTGTTAATATTTATGGTATATAATATTTACTAATTTGTTATATTTTTCATTTTCTAATTTTATTAATTATTATTTCAGGTCTATTGTTGGGGTGATAATGATCATGGTCAACAAGGCAATGGTACAACAAATGCTAACCAAGAACCTAGATTGGTTACTAATTTCAATAACATAAAAATAAATCGTGTTGGTTGTGGTTCTTCCCAATCTATTGCCTGGAAATGTCCTGTATTACCTTTACTGATGTCTCATGAACATGTGCAATTTCCTAGAATAAAAGATTCAATGGGAGCTACTACTTTAAGTATGTGTTTAATTTTTTGCATATACAATGTATATTACTAAATACCCTAATAAAACTCATTATTAGATGAAAATGTTGAAACTAAAATGAAGATTGAAGAAGATCAAAATAATTGTGAAAAGGAATCTTTATCGAGGACCATATTATCATTAGACTCAGCTGCTGCTAAGCAAAATGCTCTTCAACATGTCTTAAATGCTCTACGAATTACTTTAGCTCGAGAAATTGTACTTGCTGCTCTCATGTCCCCTTCTACTGATGGTAAAGTGATTCATTAATCAGTGTTTTAAAAATTCTTAATTAATTTTCATATATTTTTAGATACAAACATAAATCATGAGATAATCCAATCAGATCAAGGTGGTGGTGAAGCACCAGCTCCAGTCTTAGATGTTAATCTCTTACATTTAGTATGTATATGTACATATATTTGGAATTTAATATTAAGACAACATTTTTATTGGTGTTTATAAATTTTAGAGTAATGTGGTAACTCCAGATAGTGTAGAAAACTCATTACATATTCCATCTTCTCTCACCACATCAGCTAGTACATTGTCTTCAAAGGCTACCAACACTATGTCAATTGTTGCTGCTACTATAAAATCAAAAAATCAAGTAAATAATTGTTTTAATTATTTAAAAAAAAAAGTCTATGTTAAAATTGAAACATATTTTACAGGTGATTGGATTAAATGATATGTCATTGCTTGCTCATAAAACAATTGATAGTTTTTTATGTACATTAGATGAAAAAAATATCAGACTTTTATTGGACTTAGCAAAATTAGCATCTGTGTATAGGCTCGGTCCAACTGCAGAATCCATTTTAATAAACACTTTTATTTGTAAGAACAATTATATTTTCATTAATGAATTACAAGCATAAAATGGATAATTATAAACAAATCTCCCATTTTACAGCTTTTATACACTCTAACAAACATATAAAACTATTATTAGAGTATTGTGTATCAGAAATGGAAGCTATTTACGCGCATTGCTCATTTCTAGTATCACCACCTTCAAAACATACAGTTCAGGAGAGTTCTCATCCTTATCAAGATGACTCCCATCTGTCTGGATATGTATCTATACCTGGTATTTAAAAAAAAAATAATAAAATTTAGAGAATTTATTTAAAGAAAATGTTTATACACAAACTATTGTAAAATATAATATATGAAATTTAAAAATATATTTTATCATTAGGTGCTATTGCTTTATATGTTGAGTTCAATCAAAATTGTTCAACTGAAAAACTCAAAGATACATTAACATTAATGGATGGTGCTGAAAATGTCATCAGTGTCCGATCAGGAAGAGACACAGAGTGGGCTATGCCATTGTTCATTCAACGTTAGTAACTTTTATTTAATATTTTAATATTTAATTGTAAATACTAAGTATGCTATATGCTTATAAAATTATAAGGTGATGAACTTCATTGGAAATTTAAGAGTGACAAATCTTTGAATGGTTGGGGCTGGCGTTTTGTTGTGTATCCAATTATGCCTTTAACAAGACAAAGTGGTACTGACCGTGAAGTACTTTCCCGACCATGTTTACCAGTTGTTCGTAGTTTACTACAAGAATGTTTAAAACGACAAAACGATATAACACTTACTAAACGACTTACTGCCACATTGATGTTGTCATTACATTTAACTACACTGAGTATAAAAAATACATAATTTAACTTTAAAACTATCACTTTTAATATTTAAAACATTATCAAATAGCTCTTGAAGAAAGAATTTGGTGTATTAATAATCTGAGTGTGATATTCAAACGTTATCGAGATCTGGCATATGAATTATTTGTTTTACCATATGGAGAGGGTTGTGTAGCTGATATACTTGTCCGTACTGAGCATTTGATGTTCAAGCAGTTTGAATATGAAGAAACAGCTGTATTATGTGGAACACAACTTTTTTATTCTGAATATTTCAAAGTATTTATTTTACTTCTCTGTCTAAAGTAAAACTTGATTAATATTAAAATGTTTACTATTTTTATTTTATTTATATAGACTTTAGTATATATGATGAAATGGTTAAACAGTAGTTTACGATTCTGGCATTTTGATGCTTCTTGGTTTGTTGACTACTGTTTTGGTATTGATGTGGCTGGAGCTTTGATTAATCGAGAAAATTTKCCAGAAGAATTTATTAATCAAGTGCACAAAAAAATAAAATGCATTGATAAAAATTATGATAGAGATGGTGAACATATATTTATCAATAACTTAAAATTCACAAAAGAACATGATGAACAGCTGTTACAGTGGTTAAATAGGTAATTTGTATAAATATAATATAAATTGACTATTATAATTTATCCTTTGAAATACTAAAACTAAGTTCCCATTTTTTTTTAAGTAAACCTGAAGATTGGAATATGACTTGCGAGGGAAATGGTCAAGTAGTGTATGTTTGGGGTCACAATCATAGAGGTCAATTGGCATGTATGGATTCTAGTCAAGTTAAAAAACCATTGGCATGTGATTCTTTGTCTGTTTTGAAGCCTACTCAGGTTATTGGAGGAGAGCAAACTATGTTTGCAGTTACTTCATATGGAAAAGTATATGCTTCAGGTAAATTTATAACAAAAYGGTTACCTAAATTAAATAAAATTCATTATATCAGTATAATAGTTTAAAGTTAATAAATGTATTTGTACATATAGGATATACCGAAAGTGGGCGTCTTGGTATTGGCCCATATAATCCAAAAAACCCTTATGTAGTGACTCCTCAACTTGTCCAAGGTCTTAACAACATAATTAAGGTACTATTTTCATACAAAACATTTATAAATACTTATTATTTTATTTAATTATGGGTTGTGACTTTGTGAGCCTAATATAATTACAAAGATATTATTAAACCTAAGTGAGTATACCGGGTTGCCATTCGTCTTGATTTCCCCGGGACACTACCGGTTTTTACTACAGAGACCYGATATTTTTCTTTTCCTGRCCGGGACGTGGATAAGTACCGGTTTCTTAAAATAAGTCCCAAATTGTTCACGTGTGAATAACAAACAATAAATAATTGTCGGAAATTTCCGAGATAGCCGAGGACCGATAATTTTATCTTATATAATATTATATATATTTATATTATTATAAATTATAATATAATAAAAATATTAAACAATGTTGAACTAAAAAAAGTATTATCAAAAATTCCAAAGAATGTGTCATGGGGGGGGGGGTATTATTGCGTCCAGACTTGTATTTTTGTATAAATGGCAACCCTAGTATACCACATATACAACTTTACAATTCTTAAACTTTTTTACWAGACTACGAAATATAGTTTAAAATAATAGGTAATGAAACACAGTTATAATAATAAACATAGGTAATAATTGAAACAGTATCTATAAAAAATGTATTAATTAAATTATATTAAAAATTTGTAATTATTTTGTTAAGGTGGCTGTCAATTCAGGGGGTCGCCATTGTTTAGCTTTATCAACAACTGGAGAAGTATATGCATGGGGAGATGGAGATGATGGCAAACTAGGGCTTGGGAATAGGGTGTAAGTGTATTGATTTTTAAATTTTTACATAACAATTTTTCTTCCAATAACATATTTACGATTTTACAGTTCATATTCAAAACCTCAATTGGTACAAAGCTTAAGTGATAAATCTATTATTGATATTGCTTGTGGTGGTTTCCATTCTGCTGCAATTTCCCGTTATGGTCATTTGTATACATGGGGAAAAGGTCGATACGGACGTTTAGGGCATGGTGATTATGAAGATTATTTATACCCAAAATTGGTAAACTATTTGTATTAATTAATAACGATTTGTAGTTAATATTGACAAAAATAAAAAACAAGCTGCTTAATACTGTTTTTTCAGGTCCAAGGCTTAATTAACTATCATGTTGTTAAAGTTGCATGTGGTAGTGGAGATGCTCAAACAATGTGTGTCACTTCAGATGATAATGTTTGGTCATGGGGTGATGGAGATTATGGAAAACTTGGACACAATATTTCAGAATCATGTAAAGTATGTACAATTAAAAYTAAAAATGCAACTAACAAATAATAATAAACGTTTTTCATTAATATTTGTACATATTAGTTACCATGTAAAATTGAATCACTTTCGGGCAAGGGAATCATTCAAATTGATTGTGGATCACAGTTCTCAGTTGCATTGTCGGCTAATGGAACACTATACACATGGTAAATTATTACAACTTTCAATACTACTTATTACTTATAAACTGTATGTTTTTATTTTTAGGGGTAAAGGAGATTATTTTAGACTGGGCCATGGATCTAGTGAACATGTACGTAAGCCAAAACCAGTCAGTGGACTACAAGGCAAAAAAATTATTCAATTTTCCACAGGTTTAAACAAATTTTATTTTATTAAAAGTTCATATGTATAATTCACCTTATTATTTAGGATCACTTCATGTACTTGCATTGACTGATGATGGAGAAGTATATGCCTGGGGAGATAATGATGAAGGTCAACTGGGTGATGGTACTGCACATCCGATAGCAAGACCCCGTCCTATTGCAGCACTTAAGGTGAACTAAAATTTGATTAAATATAGATGCACAGTTGTATTTTTATCACTTTTGTTTATAATTGTTTATCATATRCATTAAAAATATATTGTATAATACACAATTAATTTATATTATTTTGTATTTTAAATGTATTAGGGAAAACACATTCAGCAAGTGAGTTGTGGATCAGCTCATTCGTTTGCATGGGCAARTGAAGAAGCTTGTCAAACAGAAAACTCAACTCCAATTACAATACCACTAGAATATGATTTATTACAAGAATTCAGTGTGCATGAATTAAGAAATAGATTACTGTTGTTGTATCATTTTACAATTACAATCAATCAAACTGTTTTATTATTCATGCCAATTCATGGAGAAATCAGTTTAGATGCAATACGACCATACATGGTCTATCCAGTGAAAGAAAGCATATTTAAAAGAGTATGAAAAATATAACTATAACCTTTATAAAAAGTATAGATGATAATATTTTTAATTTGTGTTCAGGTAGTTCAGTTAACAACGGTTAGAGAACAGCGACATGGACCAATGTTTGAATTAAATAGGATTAGAACACGTAAAACACGAAAATCAACATGCAATGATTATACACATACAGTATTTGGACAAATGGTGAACAATATGGACTTTTTAGATGAAGATTCTTTATTTTTGTGTCATCGAGTATGGAAAGTTCAATTTGTTGGTTAGTTCAGTATATTAATTATTAATTAGTATACTATATTAATTAATAGTTATTTTTAGATTTAAAGTAATACTAATAGACATTAGTTATTACTTAAAAAAGAAAAAACTAGTAGATGTGAAAAAAAAAATTTAAAGCTTATATATTTCTAGGTGAGAGTGTAGATGATTATGGTGGTGGATATAGTGAAAGTATTGCTGAAATGTGTGAAGAGTTACAAAATGGATCCTTACCAATACTAATACAAACACCAAATGGCCGTGAAGATACTGGGACAAGTCGAGATTGTTTCATACTGAACCCATCAGCTACAACCAAAGTTCATACTAAAATGTTTGAATTTCTAGGTAAGATTAAATTTTAGTAATGAAAAAATTTGTTTTAAGTTAACCAATAATAATCAGTATTTAAAACATAAACTTTATTTTTAATTGATTTTTATATGCATTATTGCAATGTATCTATTGTTATGTACTTATGTATAACTTGTAACTATAAATAAAGTAGAATTATTTAAAAAAATTTAAATATTAATTAAAATATCTAATTATTTAATTATAGGTGTATTAATTGGAATAGCGATCCGAACTTGTAGTCCGTTGAGTTTAAATCTTGCTGAACCTATGTGGAAACTATTGTGTGGCATGAAACTTATGCCTACAGACTTGATTGAAATCGATAAAGATTATGTTCCTGGTACCTAATTTAATATTTTTTTATATGCAATACTAATTTTTATTTCAATTATTATAAATTTTAACAAAACACAAACAATCTATAGGACTACTATATGTACGAGACTTGGAAGGAGAAGATGAATTTGCAAACCTTGATATATCATTTTGTACTACCTCCTCTACAGGTCATACAGTTGTTTTAAGCAGTCAACATAAACGTGTGACACAGCATAATAAACATGAATACATACAAGCTTGTTTAAACTTTAGGTAATAATTATTTATAATAATAAAAAAAAATACACATTTAACTAACACATATTTATATAGGTTACAGGAATTTAATGCACAAGTGAAAAGCATTCAAGAGGGTATGGCCAGAGTTATACCAGTGCCATTATTATCTATATTCACAAGTAGTGAATTTGAAGCCATGGTTTGTGGTTCACCAGAAATACCTATTAATATGCTACTCAGTATTGTTACATATAAAGGTATAATATATATATATATATATATAAAGCTATAGTAATAGTAATAATAATTTTTAAAACAGGTGTTGAAGCTCATGATAAGCTAGTTCAATGGTTTTGGGAAATCTTAAGTGAATTTTCTAATCAAGAGCGATCATTATTTTTACGATTTGTTTGGGGACGTACAAGACTACCAAGAACTATTGAAGATTTTCGTGGCCGAGATTTCGTTCTACATGTCAGTATATTATATTTATTATTACTTATACAAATATTTTTTTTTTTAATTTTGAATAACATTTTTTTTTTTTGTAGGTTATTGATCGTTATTCGCCCGCAGATAATTTTTTACCTGAAAGCTATACATGTTTTTTTCTTTTGAAAATCCCTCGCTACAGTAATAAAGTAAATATATTATTTAATAAAAATAAAAAAAATACTTATACAACTATATTTTTTACTGTATTTTAGGATGTAATGAATGAAAAACTTAAGTATGCTATTCATTTTTGTAAATCAATTGACACTGATGATTATGCTAGAATTGCGTTACCCAGAAGTATGGATGGGTCATCTGTAGATACTGATAGTTTAATCAGTGAAGAAGATACTTAAATCTTAATATCTTTATTTATTTTATTAATCAAAAAATATTTTAATTTTTTATAAATATAATAGATTTATTTACAATAAAAATGAAATGTCCATTATATTCATTATTTGTATGTAGGTATTTCTACTTATTAAGTTACTGAATAAAGTACCTAATTRTAACATTTAAAAATTGTATTTTAATCAACATCAACCTACAACTTAAAAGCATTTGTTGAAATGAAAAGTAATTGATGATAATTATTCACTAATTAATTATTATGAGTTATAATTTTAAAATTATAACTCATTTAGATTCAACAAACTGTCCTAAACTCATTACCTAATACCTCCTTTGTATCTTTCTTGATAATATACTTATGGTCTGACTAGTCTGACTCTATGTAGAATACCTACCTCAGTCGGCAACCTGTTTCGTACAACAGTGTGCATCTCCCATTTAAGCCATAACAGCATAAATAGTGACAAGTGGAAAAAGAAAAGTGTTCGCAGAACCGATATATTCTACCTTGAGATGAAGTATAGAAGATTTTAAAACTAAATAAGATGTTTAATTGTGGCAACATCTTATATCATTTGAGACAAGAGAATATCAATTTTAAAAAGTGTATCTTTTACAAATGTATTTAATATATACCTATTGCCTTTTGGCTATTATATGTTTTCGAATAGTATTTATTGAAAAAAAATATATTATTATAAATTATAATATTCTATATTTCTAAAATACATTAAACTGATCAGTGAGGAACTGGGGATTAATCATTTTAAACAGTGGCACAACAAATTATTATTATTTTAAGGTTTCAGTAACATAAATCATGATGATTGATGATCAAATTACTATTAAGTACATCAGTACCTGCTTTAGATTTACAAGATATATTCTAGCCTCTATGTATATACTTTATACCAAACCAATAGGTACTCTATGTGTCTATAAATACTGCAATACTCATATAGTATTTTATAAATTTATAATATCTATCATATAGTTATATTGGGACGCTACTATGGCACGTGCTGACTACTTACAATTTACATAGCCATATCTAATGATATATAAAAC